TTTGTTTTAAAAAAAATCAAAGAAATTCAGCTTTCCTTTTTTTCCCTTATGATTTATGGCATAACTAAGTCACATTCACGAAACATATTTTAGATTAGTCTCTTCTTCTAGTCGTGGTTGTGCTGTTTCCACAGTGGTTCAGGACTTCATGGAGCAGCTAGAAATGAACCCGCAGTGAGAACAAAATGTGTCAGAACCAAATAACGGGTCCAGAAAGCTGCTGGGGTTCAGAGGGTTAAAGACAACCTGAGTTTAAAACGGACTCCCTGAGCAGAAGCGTGACCGGACCTATTCACATGTATGTGCTGCTGTCACATTTACACCAGCACATACATGGACACGCACACATACTACATCACAACACATCACTGCTGGACTATTCTCCAATTTAAACTCAATGCCAAATTTAAAAAAACAACTTTACTTTTATAATGTCTGCTTCTGGCAACAGCATTTTTAAATACATCTCCTAAGTGATGGTGAAGTGGAACGGTTCCAGGGAGCACACAGGAACAGACTACCAGCAGGTTTGTGATGGACCACAACCTTCAGTCTCCACTGAGACGACCAGATGTGCTGTGAAGCGAGCCGACACCCTGATCAGCTCTGTCTTCACCTCTCTGCATGTGGGGAACAACACTTCCTGCATTCACCCTAAACAAACATCATTATGTGTGGATTTGTCCAATACGGACTCAGTTCTTGGGGATACCGGGCGTACCAAGACCTCTGTCAGTCTAGCTCAGGGACAGAGGTGGTCGGAGGGTGAACACTGGGGGGATGTAAAGTCAGGTGTTTTTAGATCTGTGGGATCTTGGTGAAGGGGGCAAAGAATCCCAGGAATGCCAGTCATGAGGAAGACTAGGGAGGCTGGGGTCGCTGCAGGTCTGGAGGTCAGCTGATGGCTCCCACATCCAGGCTGATCTCAGGCTCTTGTGGCTTTTAAGGGACGAACATGACAGGATCGTCCTCCTCTGTGAACGTAGAACCAGTGAGCTTTTTATGCATGCAAGTGCATGTGTGGGTGTAAATGATCCTAATAGGCAATGATAGTCTGATAGTCTGGTTTGTTTCACTTGGGTTTTAAATTGAATGTTTATGATCAGTGGCCCATTCCATGAAGCAGTTAGTGAGGCTGCAGATGGAGGCATCGTCGTGTTTCACAGATAACCATCATTCACAAACTGCAAATACGTAAAACAGCTGTGAAGGTGCAGCACATGCTTGTGCACTGGCTGCCATGTTTGTTGTGATTATTAAAGGAGACAGGAAATGATGTCATGTTGCAGCTCTGCACGGTGCACATTTGGTCTAACAGGATTCACAACAACTTATCAATCAGCTCTGAAACGTTGCATCAGCTCAGATGTGTAGTTTATTTCTTCCTAACAGCTCCACAGGCCGTGCACTGATGAGCCAGTAGTGTTGACGTGTTTGTACTCAGGTACCGTGTTCCTGGGTGGACCGAGCCTTTCAGCAACGACCACAGAACGGCACCGTGTGCACTTAGGAACCATATTGTTCATGAGCTCACAGCGACGTTCTCCATCTCGTTACTGAACCTTTCTGGGTGGGTGAACTTGGCCGGCAGTGAACAAACATGAACTGTATGATTGTATTATGCTTTTGCAGTGAATGTGTTTGGAGACGTCTGATTACATCTACAGCCAATCACGGCCAGCGGCAGTCAAAGCCAGCTCAGAGTAGTTTGGCAGATCAGAGGCCAACACAAACAAATCAGAAGTTCTGTCCTTCCAACAGCTGATTGGTTCAGTCCATTGTCCTGAAGCCTAGCTGCATAATGGCGTCACCGGACAGAGCTGCGTCTCTGCAGCGTCGACAGGAGTGCATGTTTGGGATTCTTTGTGCATCTCGATCATTCATGTCAGGTAAAGTTTCACTAAAGCAAGAAGCAGCTCTTTCCTGATTTGTTGCTGCCTACGAGTTGCTGAGCTGTTTTCATAACGGATGATCCAAATCCATGGAGCCTCCTGTGTTTCTCTGTGTGTGATATGAGGGGGATGCAAACATCTGAGTGCAGATCGATACAGATCCATGTAGTCAGGGAAACACATGAATACCTGCCAACTCATTCGTTGGAATCGTAGGTTGCAGCGACCGGCAGCTGCCAGAAGAACCGGGTCACCAGCATCTGGGCCTGTGGAGTCTGTAAAGGCATCACATGTAGGAACTGCAGTCATGATGTTGTTGAGTCTGAAGAAGACGTAGACGATGACTCTAGAAGCTCCTGACATGTGGATGAGAAACAGCTCTGAGTGTTGTATGAGGATGTGAAGTAAAAGCTGCTGTGGATGTAAATGTAAATGAGTGTGGCCTTGTTCAACAGTGGAGTGTTTGTGGTGAAATATAAACGCTGACGATCAGCTCAGAGTCATGAACACACCCTGATCTGACCTCATCAGTTACTGAAGGCCGATTTAAAAAAACAAAATAAAATAAATCCATTTTTCGTCAATCGATGATCAGGACCCTGACTGGAGCAGGTTTATTCAGGGTTTCCTACAGGAGTTGAACTTCAACGTTTTAAACATCTTGCTACACTTTTACACACACATCAGTGTAGAAATGGTTTGACAGGTTTGTGAAGTATCTCATAAACGTCCTGACTACCATGTGTTCATCTGTCAAAGTCTGCAGCCACCTGAGAGCAGGATCCACGAGTCAGGCTTTACCTTAACGAAGCTCCTGACTGCAGGGATTTCTCTGAGCGTCCTTCAGTCTGATCATTTGCATCTGAAATGGAAATACATGTCTACTGTCTGAACACTTTTCATCTCTGTGGCTTCGTCTTTTGTCCTGTTTCTTTGCTTTGGTCCTTCCTCACCAAGCAGCTACACCAGCCCTCCGCCTGATGAACGGTTCCTCCCTCCCCTCCTTTAATCTGCTTCTATTTTCTTTTTCTTCTTCTTTTAGTTCGTCTCTTCAACCTGTCCCGAGCAGATTGTCTCCTCTGTGGTGTCGACTTTCAGGGCTTTCCTACAGGACTTTGGGTGGCTGGGAATGGAGCCTGCCTTGTCCATTAGTTATATGAGTGGCTCTGTGGGGAGGCTCTGGTTGCTTCTCCCCCGGCAGACAGACAAAGCTCAGAGCTGCCTGCTATTGTCCGGCTGTCAGCTGGTCTCTGTCAGGGCTCAGGTCCTCTGATAGAAGTGCTGTGAGCCAGACTGTGTGCTGTTAACTTGTTAATTGTGCTTTAAATCGTCTTCTTAGTTACTGTAGCTCGTTTTTACAGTTGTTTGGTAGCTTACCATTGATTTAGCTATAAAACAATATCAGCTGATGGTGACGAATGACGTGAGTTTGTCTTGATGTGAGTTACTTATTTTTGTCCTTTGCGGGTTGTTTTGGTCTTTAAACTGCAGAACTGTTTATGGGTGTGTGATGGCAGCACCATGTAAGGATCCAACAGCATCCTGGCAGGTTGATGTACTGATCCTACAACGTGATGGTTTGGCTGAGATAAAGGCCTCTATTAGCTGGTCTGGGTTTATGCTGGTGGATGAACAGAACTGCTCTTTTCTCTTCTTCTTTTTTCCATTGAAGGCTGTCCTTGTTTTGAATGCCTTGAAGAAGTAGCTTTGGGAAGTCAGTTTACTTGGGCTCATGCTGAGAGTTAGAAGAGGAGATTAGCACAGAGCTACACGTGGACTTAGAGACAAGAAGCTGTTAGCTTAGCTTTCTTCAGCTTAGCATAAAGACTGAAAAGGGCCAAACAGCTGGTCTGGCACTCAGAACTAACCAGAGAGGTGACGTTCCACATCCCTAGAGCCACTTCAGAGGTCAGCGTAACCAGATGCCTGCACTTGCCTACTGCCTGGTTTGCAGCTCACCACACCCCTCCATCCACCCCTCCATCAGGCTCACGAGGCATCGGCTCCATGGTGTTTCTTCAGGCTGCTCCATGGAGGAATTTTCGGCCACCACACACTTGCTGGCGAGCTACCCTCATGGGCCTTGCTCCAGAAGGGAAGCCCCAGTCTCCATATTCTGGACACATACAGAAGGGTCAGGGAGATCACGGATGGCAGTGGCCGAAATGAGTTTCTTCCTTTGGGTGGTTGGGGTAAGCCTTGTAGATAGGCTGAGGAGTCTGGACATCCAGAAGGAGCTTGGAGAAGAGTCACTGCTCCTTTGTGTCAATTTGCCTCCCGGATGCAGTGCTTTGGAAGTTTTCCAGGCATGTATAACTGCAAGGAGAGCCTGGGGTAGACCCAGTACTCGCTTGAGGGGTCACATATCTTATCCGGCCTGGGAATGCCTTGGGATCCCCCAGAAGCAACTGGAAAACATTGCTGGGGAGAGGGAGGTCTGGAATGATCTGCTTAGCCTGCTGCCATCACGACCAGATAGCAGACAAGTGGATGGACATGAATGAATGGGCGGATAATCTGGACAGAAACACATGTGGAAACAACAGGTTTTGGTTTTATGGAGAGTTGAACAAATGTTCTGGACGGTCAGATGCTGTTTGCTGAGGAACAGGCTACTTACAGCAAGAAATCACCAAAAGAAGTACAATTACTGGCACATTTCTGAACAAACACTGTAGAGCTGTTAATGAGTGAGCTTTAGAGGTTTCATAGCGTTGCATTGTGCCGGGTGGCTGTTTCCACTGAAGCTACCAAAAGAGAAGCTGACCACGTCTTGTCACGAGCAGACATGAAAGTGACAACAAAGCAAGTGTTCGAGGAGCTGGTGGCAGATTTTGTCACTGCTGAACTGCCAATATTTCCCTAATTTCGGTTTGTACTTTAAGCTAAACTGAGCCGCTGGCTAACGCTAGCTTTGTCCTGAGCGCACAGACGGGAGTCATCGTAGGAAACCCTCGCCAAGCCAGGCGGGACGTTCAGTTCCAAAAATGTCAAACTGTTCTCAGGGGGAAGCTGCATACAGGATGTGCTTCTGTGTATGTGCATGCAGATTTATTTGTTAAAGACATTTCTGGACTCATTGTCTCGTCTTTTCTGCCTCTTTTTCAGCCTTTGCAGAAGAACGGCCAAATCTCCAGCATGACCAGCCTGAACGGACGCTCGGAGGACAACACGCTGGCAGAAGGTTTGTGTGTCAGTGTGTTTATTGACTGTGTGTGACTTTGGGTCAGTGTTTATGTGTCTTTGTGTCTGGGATCTTCTGCTGTGTCTTCAGCAGCAGGTGAGCTGGGTTGTGTGGGTCAGCTTTCATCTGCCTGCAGATGTCTTTGTGGCTCTGCACGACCTGCATGATCCTGAACTAATCCCTTAGTTAACATACAGGGGACGCCTACACGGGCTTTACACTTGGAAACCTCACACACTCACATCCGCCTGCATACCAGCATCGTTTCTGTGCCTGCCACAGTGGTGGCCGGAGCCACTGGGTTTTGTCCCTTTCTCATGAACACAGGATCTCAGAAACACCTGGAGGGAATTTCTTCAAACGTGGCACAAACGTTCACCTGCAGTCAAGGATTAACTGATCAGAATGTGGTGATAGAAGGTCAAAGGTGGAGGTCACTGTGACTTCACATCCGTCCCGTTCTTATACACATCATAACTCAGGAATGTCTGGAGGGAACTTCACTCCATCCTGTCCCGTCCACATGAGGGTGACCAGATTATATTCTGGTAGTCCAAGGTCACTGTGACTCCACTAAACAACATTTCATGCAAATTTCTTACCAGGATAAAATGAGGAAGTGATGATGTTTTATATCCAAAAGGTCAAAGTCACTCTGGTGCTGCTGGTCCACCTCATCTCGTAGAACATGATGGCACCCAGCTACCATTCTGCTGGAGGGCACACATGCTCTGGCTTGTTTCTATTCAGGCTTATACCCCCTAACTACACCGGCTGAGTCGGTCTGCTGACTTGGTGGCTCTAATCTTGGAGCTTCAGTGACTGTACAGATGTTCTGTTGTGTTGAGTTGAAGATGTGTCCGGCCATGTTTGAAGCTTGTCTCCAGCACAACTCTGTTCTCAATACGTATATAATAAGAGTCTGGACAAGCATGGACGTAGACTTCAGTAAGAGAAGACAAGCAGCTGTGAGGCCTTCATTCTAGTTTTCTGTCTGTTTTTAATCCAGAAGGTCTCATCCAGATGTTCGCAGACATCCAGCCGTCCTCACATGTATTCGTCCCGTCCATTAAAGAGAAGCAGAATCCACATCAGCTACTCAAATAACTAGAAACTGAAAAAAATAATAATAAATAAAAATGAGCTAAATTATAATTTAGTGAAATCAGACGTTGCTTTGAATTGTGGCTGAAAAGAATAATTTAAAAAAAACAAACTGTCCTGGACCAATG